TGTCTTCTTAATCCATATTTTCAAGATTAAATCAAATATTGGAAAGTTGATATAAAAATAAATTAATTGTACAAAACTCTAAAAAGTGATTGATTACTGCATAAAGAAGGCATCCTCTTATTAAGGCATGTTGTTACATTTTTTAAAAAAGAACAGCATTTTGCTCAAAAGCCTAAAAATGATTTTGTCATTAAAATAACTAGGATTGTTATTATATTAAAAATGAATGGCAACCCCACTCATCAGATTTCTTTGAAGCCATCACTTAAGGCTTCTTTATCCCCCCCCCCCCCCACAGTAATTTGTTATACTGTTGCCTCTCCACATTTGCAATTAACCTATGGATGTGAGAGCTGGACCATAAGGAAGGCTGAGCGAAGGAAGATAGACGCTTTTGAACTGTGGTGCTAGAGGAAAATTGAGAGACTACTTTGGACCGCAAGAAGATCAAACCAGGAAATAATGCCCAACTGCTCCTGGAGGGAAGGATATTAGAGGCAAATATTAAGTGCTTTGGCCACATCATGAGAAGACAGGAAAGCTTAGATAAGACAATGATGCTTGGGAAAATGGAAGGAAAAAGGAAGAGGGTTTGACCAAGGGCAAGATGGATGGATGGTATCCTTGAAGTGACTGGCTTGACCTTGAAGGAGCTGGGGGTGGCAGTGGTCGATAGGGAGCTCTGGTGTAGGCTGGTTTATGAGGTCACGAAGAGTCGGAAGCCAATGAACGAATAAACAACAAAAACAACAAAATGTAATTATTCATGGTTTTGATTTTAAATGTCCTCTCTGAGAATGTCTAGGTCCTCCAATGTGACTCTATGGTTGACTTCCTTCAGTCATGCTGGAGGATCTAAATTTTCTAGAAAGAACATCTCTCTAGGAATCTCTTAAGTTTCCAATGTGAGTATGTGGTCGGTTTATAGCAGAAATTTACAACTGAGTCAATTTTTATTCACTAGTTCTTTGCTTTAACAGTGGTCCTGTGCCCTTAACCTTGGTGAATGTGAAGGGCTGACTATATATGTACTGCTTGTGACTTGTTGCTTTGAAGTTCTGGCTGTTGCAGAATATTTACTGAGAAATCACAATTGCACATGATGTATTTATTTATTACTTAATGATTATTTATTATTACTAGTATTTATTAGTACTGTCCCCAATATTTGGTCTGCAAAGCTGGCATCTGTGTCCAACCACACCTCCCCATCCTGTCTAAGCAGAGCCAATACCTGCAACTTTCATCTGTAGATGATTTCCAAGGAAGACTTTGATAGCAGAAGCAACAGAGTCTTGGAGCAGGTGGCTTTATCATTCAAACATTTTTATGACACAAATTAGGTGTTTCCAAATTTAATGTCATGAATCATGTATAAAGAGACTATGCTCAAAATGCCTAATTGAAATAATTCAGTTCCTTGGGATTGATCTTCACCTAGAGGGTTCTCAGTCCCCTCCTTCTTAAAAGCACAGGATTAAAATGTACTTTTTGAGCTGAAGAAAATGCCATGCTTGTTTTTGTTTGAAGGAAGCCCTCTATGACACTAGAAGGAACACTTCATGTATGTATGTGTATATAAATATACATGTGTGTGTGTGTGTGTAGGTTCCAAAGTAACAAAAATAAATATACATGTAAATGTATGTATATATAAATAAATATACATATACACACATATGTGTGTAAATGTGTGTGTGTGTATATGTGTGTGAATATATATATAGGTTCCAAAGTGACAAGAAATGTATACACACGTATACATGCAAATGCATTTATATAAATATTAATATACATATACATGAATATACACACATATGCATGTGTGGGTTCCAAAGTGACAAGAAACATATACACAATGCATGCAAATGTATGTATATATAAACATACATATACATAAACACACACACATATGCATGCAAATATGTGTATATACATGCACATACATGCAAATGTATGTATGTGTGTATATATATATACATATGCATACATTCACAGATACATACATACACATATGCATGCAAATGTGTATATGTATGTATGTGTATATACATATATATGCGTGTGTGTATAGGTTCCAAAGTGACAAAAATATTTACACATTTACATGTAGATGTATGATATATACATATGCATATACACACATGTTGAAATGTGTGTGTGTGTATAGGTTCCAAAGTGACAAGAAATATGTACACTATGTATGCAAATGTATGTATATATAAATATACATAAACACGCACATATACATGCAAATGTATGGCATGTGTGCACATATATATACATACACATACATATACATAGATATGCATGCAAATGTGTTTATATATATATATATATATATACACACACACACACACACACACACACACACACACATATACATATACACACATATGTATATACACATACACACACATGCAAAGGATGCCTGAAAGAATGAGGTAAGGCAAGTTGAGGTAGGCAGTGGGTGACTGCATTTCTCACCCATTGTAACCTTGTACATATACACACATATATGTATGTGTGTGTGTATACATATATATACACACACACACAGATACACATACACAGAGATATGTATGCAAGTATGTTCATACACACACACACACACACACATATATATGCATGTGTGTATATATATACATAAACAGATACATAAATATACACACACATATGCACGCATACGTGTGTGTATGCACATATATATACACACACGCAAAGGATGCCTGAAAGAATGAGGTAAGACAAGTTGAGGTAGGCAGTGGGTGACAGCATTTCTCACCCACTGTAACCTTTCTTGTCACTTTGAAACATACACACACACACACACACGTGTGTGTGTGTGTGTGTGTATACATATATATTCACACACAAGCAGATACATATACACAGACATATACACAGACATATGCATGCAAATGTGTTCATATATATATCTGTTTGTGTATATATATATATATATATATATATATACACACAGATACATATATATACACACACGTATGCATGCAATCTTAAAAGATGATGCTGTCAAGGTGATGCAGGCCATTTGCCAGCAAATATGGAAAACACAAGAATGGCCATCAGACTGGAAAAAATCAACTTATATCCCCATACCAAAAAAGGGAAATGCGAAAGACTGCTCAAACTTCCGTACAGTGGCCCTTATTTCTCATGCCAGTAAGGTAATGCTCAAGATCCTTCAAGGAAGACTCCAGCAATACATGGAGCGAGAGTTGCCAGATGTTCAAGCTGGGTTTAGAAAAGGCAGAGGAACGAGAGACCAGATTGCCAATATCCGCTGGATAATGGAGAAAGGCAGGGAGTTTCAGAAAAACATCTACTTCTGCTTCATTGACTATTCTAAAGCCTTTGACTGTGTGGATCATAATAAATTGTGGTAAGTTCTTAGTGGGATGGGCATCCCAAGCCACCTTGTCTCTCTCCTGAGGAATCTGTACAAGGACCAAGTAGCAACAGTCAGAACTGACCATGGAACAACAGACTGGTTCAAGATTGGGAAAGGTGTACGGCAAGGCTGCATCCTCTCACCCAACCTTTTTAACTTGTATGCAGAACACATCATGCGATGTGCGGGGCTGGATGAATGCAAAGCTGGGGTGAAAATTGCTGGAAGAAACATTAACAACCTCAGATATGCAGATGACACCACTCTGATGGCCGAAAGCGAGGAGGAGCTGAGGAGCCTTCTAATCAAGGTGAAAGAAGAAAGCGCAAAAGCTGGGTTGCAGCTAAACATCAAAAAAACCAAGATTATGGCAACAAGAATGATTGACAACTGGAAAATGAGAGGGAGAAACCGTGGAGGCCGTGACAGACTTTGTATTTCTAGGTGCAAAGATTACTGCAGATGCAGACTGTGGCCAGGAAATCAGAAGACGCTTACTTCTTGGGAGGAGAGCGATGTCCAATCTCGATAAAATAGTAAAGAGTAGAGACATCAGACTGGCAACAAAGATCCGCCTAGTCAAAGCCATGGTATTCCCTGTAGTAACCTACGGATGTGAGAGCTGGACCTTAGGGAAGGCTGAGCGAAGGAAGATAGATGCTTTTGAGCTGTGGTGTTGGAGGAAAGTTCTGAGAGTGCCTTGGACTGCGAGAAGATCCAACCAGTCCATCCTCCAGGAAATAAAGCCCGACTGCTCACTGGAGGGAAAGATACTAGAGACAAAGGTGAAGTACTTTGGCCACATCATGAGGAGACAGGAAAGCCTAGAGAAGACAATTATGCTGGGGAAAGTGGAAGGCAAAAGGAAGAGGGGCCGACCAAGGGCAAGATGGATGGATGGCATCCTTGCAGTGACTGGACTGACCTTGAGGGAGCTGGGGGTGGTAACGGCCGACAGGGAGCTCTGGCGTGGGCTGGTCCATGAGGTCACGAAGAGTCGGAGACGACTGAACGAATGAACAACAACATGCTCTATGCTGACTAATATGCAAACACATACATTCAAATATAAGTGTGTGTATGTATGTGTGTGTGTGTGTATGTATATATATATATACACACACACACGCATATATATATATATATATATATATATGCGTGTGTGTGTGTGTATATATATATACATACACACACACACACATACATACACACACTTATATTTGAATGTATGTGTTTGCATATATATATATATATATATATATATATATATATATATATATGCAAACACATACATTCACATATATATATATATATATATATATATATGCAAACACATACATTCACATATATATATATATAGACACACGCATATATATGTTCCAAAGTGAGAAGAAAGGTTGTGGTGTGGTGGGGTGGGTGGGAATGCAGTCACCCACTGCCCGCCTCACCTTGCCTTACCTCATCCTTTGAAGCGGCAGCAGCAGCAGCAGCTGGAAGGCAGCCAACCAGAGCGCCTCCGCCTCCTCCGCCCCGCCCATTTGCCTTACGGCTCGAGAGGGGGCGTGGCCTGTCTAAGCCCCGCCCCGGAAGGACGCGCCGGCCGGGCTGAGGCGGCGGCGGCGGCAGTAGTAGCAGCGGCCGCCGAAGGCGAATCCCGAAGGAGGCGGCGGCTTTGCTGCTGCTGCTGCTGTTGTTAAGGGGGGCTCCTGACTGGCTGGCTGGCTGGCTGGCTTCCCCGGAGCCATGGGAAAGGAGCAGGAGCTGCTGGAGGCCTCCCGCACGGGGAACCTGCCCGCCGTGGAGAAGCTGCTCTCGGGGAAGCGCCTCAGCTCGGGCTTCGGCTCTGGCGGCGGAGGCTCAGGCGGCGGGGGAGGAGGGGGCTCCTCGGGAGGTGGCGGCGGAGGAGGGAGCGGCGGAGGCGGGCACCCGCTTTCGAATCTCCTCAGGTAGGTGTGGCGCTTGGCTTTCTGCTGAGGCGGAGGGAGGGAGGGAGGCCGTGCCAGGCGCCCGGGGGTGTGTCCCTCGCCAGCACCTTGAGGCGGTTGCACCAATGGGCAGGTGGGTCGTGGTGGGCCCTGGCCCAGGGCGGTGGGAGTTTGGCGAGAGAAAGACCTTGGGCAGGGAACTACAGCTCCCAGGATCCCACAGCATGCATTCATTCTACAGTGTAGACCAGGCATGGGCCAACTCCAGGTGTTTTGGACTCCAACTCCAATCATTCCCAACAGCCTCAGGCCCCTTCCTTTCCCCCTCAGCCTCTTAGGAATGTTAGAATGTTGAGGCTGACCAATCAGAAACCATATGCAAATTAGTAGGTTGAGATAGCTCATGCATGGGCCAACTTGGGCCCTCCAGGTGTTTTGGACTCCAACTCCCACCATTCCTAACAGCCTCAGGCCCTTTCCTTTCCCCCTCAGCCTGCTAGCGGCTGAGGGGGGAAAGGAAAGGGCCTGAGGCTGTTAGGGATGGTGGGAGTTGGAGTCCAAAACACTTGGAAGGCAAGCCCAAGTTGGCCCACACCTAGTTTAGATGCACTCCCTGTGCAACCAATTTTGTATATGGCCACTGTCACTCCAAAAGGCCACTGTTACTCCAAATGTTACACTGTTACTCCAAAATTGTTACTACAATTTTACCACTGTAGAATTAAAGCAGTTTGACAGCACTTGAACTGCCACTTCTCAATGTTATGGACTCCTCTAATGTGTTCTTTGTTGACCCACAACCCTCTTTGGCTGAGAAGACAGAATCTATATAAATAAAAATGTAATGTTCGTTTGTGGGATCAACATAACTCAAAAGCCACTGGACGAATTGAGACAAAATTTGGACACAATGCACCTAACAGCCCAACGAATGTCCACACATCCCAGGAGAACAGAGTTAAAAAAACCCAAAATACACTATATATACATATACACACATACTCATATATATACACATGCACACATTCATACACACACACACACATATATATATGCACAAACACACAGAAATATACACATGTACAGACACATACATATACATACACACATATACATATACACATGCATATATATAGATATATATATATACATGCACAGATAAATACATATCCACATACATATATACACACACAAATATGCATATAGACAAGAACACACATACACACAATATGCATGTACACATATAAATACACAAATATATACGCACGCTTCTATACACCCATATGTATACTCACAAACACACATATATGTACACACACGTAAACACATATACACACACAAACACATGCACACAGATTGGGCCAAAGCATCGCGTGGCAGGGGACAGCTAGTACCTTGTAAAACTACAATTCCCTTTGAGTCAAATTGGTGTCAGACTGCATTATTAGGCACCCCCTTTCTTTTAGGAGGTATTATTTCAGGCAGACTGGTTTGGAGTGATGTATTCTTTAAAAGGGAACATTGTTATTTCCCTCATGGTACTTTTTTATTCCGAATGTTTACAGTCCATCCATGGTGAAAGTTATTTACCGCCATGGTTAGAGGATTGTGGAGTGGAGTGGAGGCTTCTTCTTTGGAGGCTTTTAAATAGAGCCTGGATGGCCATCTATTAGGGCTGCTCTGAATGCAATTTTACTGCTTCTTGGCAGAATGGGGTTCGACTGGATGGCCTATGAGGTCTCTTCCAACTCTATGGTTGAGTCTGAATTGATGTTTTTATATGTGCTTGTGTTTTATTTTATTGTATTTCATATTGTGTTCACTTTTATGTTTGTTTTTAGGTACTTTGTGCATCTGTAAGCTGCCCCAAGTCCCTTCGGGGAGATGGTGGCGGGATATAGGAATAAAATTATTATTATTATTATTATTATTATTATTATTATTATTATTATTTAATTTGTCACTGTTTGTCTAAATTGTGTGAGTATCTCTTTCTCTTAAGTCAAACCTTAGAAATATTTTCTTGGATTTTACTGTTTGTATGTCACATTACTGTATATACTCATGTGTAAATCTAGAAATGTTAGTTAAAAACACCTGGGCTGACTTATCAACAGGTCGGTGTAGGTACTGTCTCTAAACTCTAATAGAAAACACAATAATCTTCTCTGAGTGCAGTAACAAATGTGAAGAGCTTAGTTAAAATACCAACCCAAAAAAACCTGAACCGACTTTTCCATGGGTCAATGTGAGTACTGTACCTTGACTCTTTTTTAAAAACTGAACTGTCCTCTTCTCTTAGTAGAACTTTGGCTGCTGAACTTGCTGACCAAAAGGTCGGTGGTTTGAATCTGGGGAGCGAGGTGAGCTCCCGCTGTTAGCCGCAGCTGCTGCCAATCTAGCAGTTTGAAAACATACAAATGTGAGTAGATCAATAGGTATAACTTCAGTGGGAAGGTAACAGCCGTCCACATGGAGCCGTCTATGGACAACACCAACTCTTCGGCTTAGAAATGGAGATGAGCACCACTCCCCAGAGTTGGACACAGCTAGACTTAATGTCGATGGGAAACCTTTACCTTTTATATGAGTCTACACTGCCATATCATCCAGTTCAAATATCATAATCTGGGATCAGAAACTGGATTTTATGGCAGTGTAGAAGGGGCCTTAGAGAACGTAAAAGAAATAACAACACACTCTACTCTCCCTGGTGCAGCACCTTCTCACCTTTTTGGTGGGAAAATGGCAGTGGCGGCCAGGCCAGCGGTGACTAGTCCCAAGACAGCATTGGTGCTTTCCCTTCTCTGCAGAGTGACTCTTGGCTTTATCCACAGATCATATAAAATCCTTAATTTTTAAAATCCTTAATATACAGTACTTTATTTTGCAGTCTTTGTCTTTGACTGAAGGGTTGTGCCTGGATTTAAAATAAGTTCTATGTATTTCCCTATCACTGTGTTCTCTCTTTTTTGTAGAGTACAGAACAGGGAAAAATGAATGGAACTTTTATGAGAAAGGCAAATGTATTTAGGGTAAACCAAATGAGCTTTTCAACGTAGTGATTCTATGTGGTTCTCAGATTCTAGTAAGGATTAGAGATGCTACAAGTGATATTTTCCCCTCAGCTTCTGCAGTTTCCAGAATTTGTGGTGTCTTTCTGATAAATCCATCTCAACTTTGAACAATCTGGTTTCTGTTTCTTTAAATTTTCAAACTTTGTTTTATGTTGTTAGTTTCAAAATGGTGAGGAAGTGACTTGTGATTTCTATTTCTCTTTTTAATTGGGGCAGGAAAGATGTTGGATATTTCCATAAATCTTTGATTTTCTTGATAATTGAAGACCCCTAAGCACTGTGAATAGCACAAATCATTTTCAGCTTGTCTTCAAAGCTCTTCGGGCATTTTGGTCTGAAGGGTGGTGGACTTGACTGATTGTAGCCATTAGTCCTAGAATCTATATTATAGACAAGAATAACAATGCGCTGCTTTGCCTAAGAAAGCCAAATGAAATTCCCAGGGATAAATTTACAGGCAACTTGAAGGCATATGCACACTTTTATTGGGACTTAAGTTTACTAGAACTCTTTTGTTGGCTGGAGCTTAAATAAATATCAGAAGTGCTATTCGAGAGTGAAACAACACTTGAAAAGCAAGGAAATAGAGCAGGAAAATTTTGCTACTTGTAATGGAAGCCAGACTATAGTTTCTAGAATCTTAAAGGAACTCTGGCATTTTAAATTAGATGACAACTTCCTCTTTGAAACTGTCAGAGCCAGTTAGAATTGTTTCTGATGCTCTAATTTAAGCACACATCTCCATTGGAGAAGTTCCTTACAAGGTAGCAAAGCAGTAATTCTTATTATAATCCAAAATTACAATTTGTAAGGCTTTGAATTCATTACAGCTCTTTTTTAGACTAGTCAGTGAACAAAAGGTGTGGGGAAACGAGAGAGAGAAATGTTGCTGAGTGGCTGCTCCAGTTTGTGACAATCTCACAGTGGAATTGAGAAAATGCTTTAAATGTTTTAGTTCTTTGGCTGTAATCTGTGATGTATTGTAGACTGTCGATCCCATTTTCAACCATCACTGTTAATGGGAGTTGCAGTCCATTGACATCTGGGTGACAACACATTCCTTTACCTAGATCTAGAACACTCAAAATTAATCTTTTTGCTAATGCTTTTCATCTGTAGTGATTACATCTGGTCTCTGCTTTGCAAGACTTTTGAGTTGTGTTAATAAGGAATTTGAATCCTTATTTACATAAAATATCCTGTATAAGAAGCATAAATTTATGTTTCCAGGTCAGATAACAAATTAGCTTAGAAAACACTCTATATATCCAAATTAACGTAACAAAAAACAATCAAACAGTGAATATAATATAATTGGAGCCTATGATAGATTAAAACGCCAATAGTGGCAGTTCTTAAAGCCTGAGGAGGCAAAAATGATTTTTTTCTGCTGCTTAAAGTATAGAGAGATTAAGTTAGCCTTCCTGGGAAAACTGTTGTAAATGCAAGAAACCACCAGTAAAAAGTCTTTCTTTCTCTTTAGTCACTAGTGAGATGTGATAGAAATACCCATAAAAGAGGTTCAAGGAATTATCTCAGTGGATGGGTAGAAGGGTGCAGGGGAAGGCAGTCTAACAGGTATCTGTGCTATAACATAGTGCTTTTAGGATGAAGACGAGCATTTGAACTAAATTTGGAAATTTAGTGGAGACTACTGGGCTAGTTTCAGTACAAGTGAGATATATTATTTCTGTGTACTTTTGTTAAAAGTATTGCTGCAGTGTTCTGGAAATGGTATATATTCTAAACTTTTCAAAAACTGTGATTAGTTACTGGATTTATAGCCCTCTTTTCTCTTGAACGGGACTTGGAGTGGCTTACAATGTACCAGTATATTAAAATATATACATAAAGTTGTATGTAAAGTTGTATGTCACTGGAGGGAAAGATACTAGAGACAAAGTTGAAGTACTATGGCCACATCATGAGGAGACAGGAAAGCCT